TGAACAAAAGCCACCCATCAGGACAAGCTGCTCAAAATACAAAGAGGATGAAAAGCAGCAAACCTATACTGTACAGCATCTTTCTGTTTCATCTTACTTTGTGTAACCACAACTCCAATTCACAGTTCACCAATAACCCCATACTCCTTCTCCCCTACTGGCCATCACATTTTTGGTATCAAGGCCAAAATAAAAGCCTCAACAAAATAAACATTCTAAAACAAATCTGTAAGTGAAATCATGCCATACTTTACTAACATATGAACAAGGAACAAGAGTAGGCACTGGGCCCTCTCAGTCAATAAGATTATGGCTCATCTGATTTTAATCATAACTTAATGTTCCTGCACATTCCCAATAATCTTTCATCAAAAGTCTACCTACCTCAGCCTTAAAAATATTTAAAGTTTCTGCATCCCTACCTTCTAAAACCAATATTTTTAAACTATGACCCCAGTTCTCAATTCACCCACGAAAGGAAACATCCTTTCAACATCCACCCGAGTCAAGTCCCCTCAGAATCTGAGATAACTCCAGCATCAGCAGTTCCTACTATCTCCCCTCAGGATCTTACATGTTTCAATTAAGTCAGTTCTGACTCTGCTAATCTCTACAGGATACTGGCCTAGCCTGTCTAGCCTTTCCTCATAAGGCAATCTGTTCATTCCAGGTATTAATCTAGTAAACCTTTTTTGAACTGCTTCCAACTCATTAATGTCCTTCAGTAAATACATTGACCAGTACGTATAAGGTCCTCTAGATAGGATCTCACAACACCTATACAACTGAAACATAACTTCCCATATCTTGCATTCAATTTCCCTCACAACAAAACGTAACATTTATTAGCTTTCCAATTACTTGCTGTACCAGCATACTAAACTTCTGTAATTCATGCACTAGAACACCTAGATCTCTCTGCATTTTTTAAATTACGTACAAATGAAGTTATTCACTCGTGAATCCCTTAGTGCCTGTCTTCTCCCAATACTCTAAGCAGTGCTACTCTAGTGTTTGTAGCACAGTGGGTGGAAGACAGTGACTTTCAGTGAAAAAGAATACAGTTCAGCTTAAGTAATTCTGCTCCTCGTTGATATGGCTGTGGACAGCATCATCCCATTAGAAGCAGCAGCATTCTGGGTCAATTGGATGTAAGTCAACAAGGACACAGGCAGAATGGCAGGGATGGGAGCGTAAATGCTTTCATCCTGAGAACGGACATAAGAAACAGGAGCAGTCATAGGCTGCATGGCCTATCATATTTGCTCTACAGTTAATTGCATCATGGCTCAACATTTCAATTAATTACTTTCCTATCCTATTCCCACAGCCTTCAATACCCTTAGATCCCAAAAGTGTATTGATTTCAATCTTGAATATTCTCATCAGCCGAATGTCCTCAGTCACTGGAGTAGAGAATTCTAAACATTCACAAGCCTTTGAATGAAGAAATTTCACCTCATATTAGTGCTAAATGGCCAACTCTATGACCAAGCCAAGTAAAACTGCCTTCCAGCAACTACCTTGGGAAGCCTTTTCAGAATTGTCTACGGTTCAAAGAGATTACCTTTTTTTTTAAACTCTGGGCAATTTAAGTACACATTCCAGTCAATCTCTTTTCATAGGACAGCTTCTCATCTCACAAACCAAAAATATATGCAGTATTCAAAGCATGGTTTTACTAAGTCTTGCTTATATACTGCAACTGTCTTGCCATAAAGACATACATACCATTTGCCTTTCTAATTGCACATTACTTGCATGTTAATTTTCTGTGAATCTTATCCAAAGACAGTGAAATCCCTGAGAACCCAATGTTTATTAGTTTCAAACATCTGCTTCCCATTGTTTTCACAAAGTGGATAATTCCACATTGCCTGCATTATACTACTTGTTACCTTACCATCATGGCTTTGAAGCATCAAGTCCTCCTAACAGCATCCTTTTCTACCTAGCTTTGCACCATCAGCAAACTTGAATATATCACAGTCAATATGCATCATAAATAACCGAGGTGCTAAAGATGATCCTTGTGGCACTCCATTAGTTACACCCTACTATCTTGAAAATGATCCATTATTTTACATTTTATGTCGGTAACCAATCTATGATAAAGATGCTACTTCCATGCCATGAATCCTTATCATAAGTAACAATCTATTGTTGTACTTGACCAATTCTGAAAACTCAAATATATTATCTAATAGCTTATTATTATTTACTTGTGAGTTGCACCCTGAAAACATTTTAATGTACTTGTCAATTATGATTTTTTTTTTCATAAATTTGTATTGACACTGCCTAATAATGGCCTATTAATATTACATTTCACTTGAAAGTGCCAGGAGAAAATACAGACTTACAGTTGAAAGATGATAAACATTCAATACTGTGAACTGAATAGGAACCACAAGTATCTACTATCGGGTTTGTGGGAAGTAATTATAATGTTTATGAATCATTCTTGCTTCAGTATTCATTTATTTCAATAGATATATTACAGAGTCATAGAATCATACAGCATGGATACAGATGTTTCAGTCTAACTCATCCGCGCCAACCAAACATCCCAATCTGACCTAGTCCATTTGCCAACAATTGGCCCACATCCCTCTAAATCCTTCCTATTCATATATTCATCCAGATGCCTTTTAAATGTTGTAATTATATCAGCCTCCACCACTTCCTCTGGCAGGTCATTCCTTGCAGGCACCACCCTCTGTGAAAAAGTTCCTCCTTAGGTCCCCTTTAAATCTTTCCACTCACCTTAAACCTATGCCCTCTAGTTTTGGACTCCCCCACCCTGGGGAAAAGACCTTGTTTATTTACCCTGACCATCCCCCTCATGACTTGATAAACCTCTATTAGGTCACCCCTTCGCCTCTGACGCTCTGGGGTAAAAAGCCCCATATTAAAGTAAAACGAATTCTTTGGAATGCAGGTATTAGTTTTATATCAGATTGTGCAGGTTTATTTTTCTGAAATTATACCTTAAAAAGTACCCAAGTATTAACTTGTCAGTGAAGAAAAAGCAACCATAATGTGCACTTTTGGTGCCAGTAGTTACAGTTGACAGAGGCCAGTTTCCATACAGTAAATAGGGGTAGGATAATGATTCGGTGCCACAAAAGGGTGGGATAAACTGGTAGTAATAGTGATAATCTTTTGAGTGCTTTCTGAGGAGACTAGTTCATAAAAACAATGGAAAACAGGTGATTATGTTGTATGAGAGCTTCTTCTCCATTCAAAGTGTAATCTCTTGGTTGACCACTTCTCAGTGACTAATTAAGACTCAAGTCTTCACTCACAAAAGAGGCAGAACCCCCGCATAATCATCATAAACTCTTCACCCCTAAAGCAGCAACATTTGTAAAACAGAATAAAGGCCATTCAGCCCATCTAACTGCACCTTTGATTAAAAATGTTTGATTTTGTATCTTTTTGGAATTTAAATTGTCTGAGATAAGTTGCATAACTCAAGTTGTGTTCAAATATTATTTGATTTGATTTCTCTTTGAAATCAGAAAGATGCACTGTCTACAAAATTAGATGTCACTTCCTGTCACACAAACACTTTGTCTCAAATCTCAGAGACAAAATATTTAACATGCAGTTTGAATAGCTTTATAGATCTACTTAACAGTGCAAATCTTCAGCATCCTTTGTAGTAATAGAATTGGGCACTTGAAATGGTTTCTGTAGCCCCATTAGTGGAATTCCATCACTTAAGGAATATTACCAGAAAGCATACAAAAACAAGTTAGATTCATTCTCACGGCAAGTACAGAGTGGTGGAGTTTATCTGAAGACAATTTTGTTTTTAGGGCAGGTTCAACCAAGTATGTAAACAACAAAAGAATTAATAACTTGCTGCCAGGTAATACAATATCAATCCACTATGCAAAAAATTGATAGGATGCAATCATTGTATCCTCACATTCACACAACATTTTAAATTGATACATGATCTGAACAAAGGACAAGCATTCTGTGGAAAGGGGAAAACATGACGCAAGATCATATGAACTATTCTCTGTCTCGCGCACATACGCACATACACGGGGGCAGGATGCCAGCCTATTTGCTGAACCAGAAGATGCAGTGTCAACCCAGGAAAAATGTATTACAAAGGGCACACCGAGCAAACAGAATACCATTTAGAATGTTATACACTATACCTTTGAGACCTATTTGGCAGTCTATTTGTTAATAGAAATTCTCACTAACTCTATTTAAACAATTCAGATTATTTTAAATTTCTCAACTGACTATTGAATTCATCAACAACTAGTGGAAAGTTTTAATAGAAATTGCATTTTGGCCATTTAATTTTTTTTTTAAACAGAAACGTTAAAAGTCTTATGATTCTGGAATTCACATTGCCAAAAGAAATTAATAACATCTGGTCTAACCCAATTTTCTTAATCTCTCAATACCATGAACAAATTAAGAATTTTCCTGTTAACCATTTCTAAAACAGTACCTTTTCAGTTTGTTGATAAATATCAGCTTAGTATGCGCAACAAATACAGCATTTTGTTCATATTACAGCTTATTTTTGAAAAATACTCAACCTATTTTTCTAATGTCAGTGTTTTATATTCTCTTAATCAACTCAAATCAAGGGCTTTGGAAATAATTATTCATACAGAAAATGCCTTTTCATTTTGTTGTATTGCCACGTCTATATTTGTCTTCCCAGCGATGGCTGTTATTCAATTCAGGCAGTGTACTTTGTAATTAATGCTTGCCGAGTAACACTGGTTCATCAAATATTAATAGTGAGGGAGTTGATGACGTTAAGACAACAAATTGGATCACAGACTTATTGTTAGAACTGTGTCCGAAAGTGGTTTGTAACCAGCAGTTCTATTTCAATGGTTTTAAAACAATACATATTATACCTTTTAGTATTTAGCTTAATCTTCCAAGACCAATGTATAGCTCATCATTTAAACTCTTCTATCAAAAATTCTTAATCTTTATCTCAAAAATCTTACCAACACGAGTGGGGAAATTTTCCTCATTATTGATCAAGGCCTCAATCCAGTCCATGAGCAAATTCATATACTGTGGAGCAGTCACTTTGGTTGGTTTCTTATACTTGTGTTCATCCTGCCACCTGTACTCATACTTCAGCCCGCCAGACATGACAGGACAACTCCTTTCGGTGCAATACTCACAAATGGTACCATAGATGAGGTTGATGCGATTGAAGAAATCTACAGTGTTGACTGCAATCCAGTCATTGAGGTTTTCCCCTGCAGGAAGCTGAACTACTGTCTTGAGATCAACACCAGATTTAAGTGAGGCCTGCGCCTTCTTGAAGAGCTCGAAGCGTTGGGTTCCAGGCTCAAACTTCTTTCGGGGTCGAAAAGTCCTGTCCTTATTAAAGACTTGCTTCAGGCAAAGGGCCATCTTTCAGAAAGTACAGAGAGGTACCAATCTCTTCCTTTAAAAGAGATTCAGTATAAAAAGGGTTTGTTTCTTTCTTGGCTTAAGCTGATTGTATTTAAGAGCTTCAGATATTTTAGTTAGTTTGCTCTCCACAAGTTGCTGCAGCCATCTGTGTATCCTGTAAGACAGTAGAAACATTTCGTATTCAATTGAACAGAGTCCAGTGATATTTTTTCAAGGTATCCAATTGATTAGCATATCAATTCCTGGTAAAGCTACCACTTTGTCAGAACTTAAATATACCAATATGCAATTTTAAGGTACAAGTTAAAATATTAACAGAGAACATTCATTTCTCATTGTCTGTCAGAACATAAAGTAGACATGCAACCTGGTATTTCGACATTATAGACTAGACAATTAAAGTTTTTGAGAAGACTTGTAGCTCGGGTTGTGGATGGGATTGTTGATTTGTTCGCCGAGCTGGTAGGTTGATTTGCAGATGTTTTGTCACCATAGTAGGTAACAAATAACAAACAGGAAAGACCAACAATGGTTCATCGGAGGCGCAGTGATGATGTTACCTAGTATGGTGATGAAACATCCTCAACCAAGCTACCAATTCGCAAAAAAAAAATCAACAACCCCAGACTAGACAATTTCCTAGGACATTCCATGAACAGGCAGGGAATAGAGGATACAGATCATGTGCAGGCAGATGGGATTAGTTTATAATGGCTGGCACAGACATGGTGGGCTGAAGGGCCTGTTCCTGTGCTGTACTGTTCTATGTTCCATGTGAAGCCATTCTCTAGTGTAGTCTACATTGCATTACAGGTGAACTAGGGTTAGAAATTGGTGATAATTGGGCTAGACGGCAGATGGATTCAGTCTCCATTTTAAATTCACATAGTCTTTCATTTGTAAGACATAACTATAAATGATACAACAGTGAAATAAGTCCAGGAAAACTTGTAGCAATTCACAAAGCAAACAGATCTCAAGGAGCTTTACACATTGAGGTGTGAAATGTCATAGCTTGAAGGGGTGATGCAAGTACAGTGTGACATATTCACATATGCAGTTTTCAATATGAAAACACTCAGAGGAAAATTTGACAGACTTTGTGAATTTAGGATTTTCTTTTAAGAATATAATAGGTGCGTGGCAGCAGAATAGGAGATCTTGGAACAATCAACTATCTTTTCATATCCATACCCCAGATCCCTTGATTGACTGAGAAATCAAAACAATCTATTTATCTCAGCCTCAAACACAGTCAACCATGTAATCAGCCACAACTCTTCGGGGTAGGGAATTCAAAAGGTTCACAACCCTCAATACGATGAAATTTCTCTTCATCTCAATCCTAAATAATCAACCCCTTTTCCACAACTTATTGTAAAGACCGTATCTTTTTATTTTTCTGTATTTTTGATAATGGACTGAAATTGGAAAACGACTGCTTTACAAGCCAAGGATTGTTGAAGGATTACTGCACTTTTTTGTTTAGAAAAAGCCAACTTACTTGCAATTACTGGCTGTCATTCTAGGTGAGAGCTGACTTACAAATGAGCTGCAGCCACTGTGTATGAACAGAGATTTGATCAGAAACAAATAGCTAATTGGTCTGTGAAATGGTGATTTCTTATTGACGATAAAGGTCTCCCACCTGCCAATTGGCTTTCAGGTAACTAAACAGCTTGGGCTAGTGTGTTTGGGTCAGAAGTTATCAGATCTTTCAAAGAGAAGAAGCTGTGTTTGCTCTGCAGTAAAATGATCTCAAACCTGAACATAATATGTTTACTTCTCTTCATCAATTGCTGTGAGCTGTGACTTTTAATTCAAAAGTCAGAGATCCTCATAAGTGTGGACCAGTCACCCTATGCCTCCTGCAAACAAGTGAAAGTATCTGGAAAAGGAGGATCAAGGAACAGTGTTCAGATTAGAAAAAGGGTCACGTCAGCAAATCCTGTGGACAAGGACCACTGAGCTGCCTTCACGGTCTCTGTCTCCACACATAACACCCTTTTTTGTGTTTGTCTGTGTGTAGGGGAAGTTCAATGAGTGGATTAGAGTTTTGGCTAGTAGAGTTATATGTCAATGGTTCATAACTTTATCTGTAGCTAGAAATTATTTTTTTGCAATAAATAGTCACTCATTAAGTCCAGACACCTAGTTTGTGCTGTCAACCTGAGTCTAAAAGACAGAAAAAAAATGAGAAATTTTGTGCACTTTTATAAACTCTAATTTCGGTGATGACCCTGGGTAAAGCAGAGCTGAATATCCAGGTGACTACCCCAGTGAAGCAAAACATTATGCCTCGGTTTTCTAGATCTTCCACTCCAGGGAAAATATCATCTCAAAGTCCTGCACGTTTCAATGAAGATACTTATTCTTCTAAACTTCAGGGAGTATAGGCCCAAATTACTTTGTATCTGATCACAGAACAACCCTCCAATGCCAGGAGCCAATATAGCAAATCTTTGCTGTATCCCCTTCAATGCAAATAACTCCTTCTTTAAATAAGGAGATCAAAACTGCTCACATTACTCCATGTGCAATGCTAAACGAGGTTTGCACCTGGCCATTCAGACAGAGGCAAACATTGAAGCAGAATGTATGTCAAAGGTGGGGGAGTTTATTGACATAAAAATTATTTCAATATAATTTGCACTGTTACCATTCTGCTAATATAACCTTAACACACTTCAAGTTAAGATATTATAACTGAAAATTTCTGTTAAAGGTTCAGTTTACTAAAAGCTGATATGACCTTCTTTGAATGGAGACTCTAGAATCAAGTTACTTTGGGATGTTTCAGAAGTGAACTTGACCTTGAGCCAGCTATGCTGGAAAGAGTAGGCTGGCTTCAGATGGCCCTGAAAGGCAATACACTACTTCTGTGGCATTTTGAATGCTCTGGTTTCAAGGAATCCCATGGATTTAGATTACACTCTAACCTTGTTATTCCCAATTAAGCTGCTATGGGCCATGTGGACTAAAATCACTACAGAAAAAAAAACAACTTAAAAAGCTTTCCCACAGGTATTAATATTAACTCTATATTTTAACAAAATAAGATTCTTCGGAGCACAAAGTTTTCCATTACAAGTTAAGCTCTGTGAACACAAGAAAATCCTCCTGGATTTGGCTTCTGCTCTAAATGACTGCAGAATAAAATTCAGGAAATCTCCAGACTATCTTAAGTAGATTTAAAGCATATTAAATAAACCAGCTGTAACATTAAAAAATCAAAGTTATTCTGAGAATTATTGTAGTTGACATGCATATTTCAAATGGTACAGTGTTTGTCAAAAGTGGTCAACAAAGCAGATGACTGACAGAGAAGTTACGGTAAAATTTGTTTTCAAACTGTGTCAAGTAATAACTTTTAATTAACTATTTAATATGAAATAATTGATACTTATTAGATTATAAAACCAAAAAGAAATAAAGATAAACATGAGCCCATTTGTCCAAAAATCTGACATACATAGGGGTCCAGAAATTCAATGGCACTATGCTCATTTTGAGCATTAAATGGGTGCCTAGGACCAATGTTCTCTCACTCTGACATTCCATGTACAGCAACTGGCACACTAACACTGACTACAGCATGGACTTCCAGTTCCAGAAGTCACTGCCACACATGAACCTCGGAGCACCATATGGAAGATAAAGGAAATTAGAGGGACCACTGCCTAGGACTCCAATGTGTTGGCTGGAAGCACACACTAACCCAGAAGGAACAAACCAGTAAAACTTGCAAATGGGACATACTAGTCCATATAACCCATCTTGTAATTTTCAAAATGGAGAAACAGTTTGTTCATTTCTAACTATTGCTTTCTTTTAAAAAAAAAGTTGTTTTTCCCATCGGGAAAGTTCTCTATCTGAACTTGTATTGCATTCATAATAAAGTAAATGAAGTGACTGCATGCATTAAAGTAAATAAATACAACTTTTTTGCTTTTACAAGTTAGAGCAGCACGGTGGCTCAGTGGTGAGCACTGCTACTTCATAGTATCAGGGACCTGGGTTCAATTCCACCCGCAGACAACTGTCTGTGTGGCGTCTGCACATTCTCCCTGTGTCTGCGTTGGTTTCCTCCCACGATGCAGAGGTGCGGCGGATTGGCGATGCTAAATTGGCTGTAGTGTCCAGAGATGTGCAGGCTAGGTGGGTTAGCCATGGGAAATGCAGGCTGATAGGGTGTGGGGCTGGGTCTGGCTGGAATGATTTTGGAGGGTTGGTGTGGACTTGATGGGCCGAACAGCCTGCTTTCACACTGTAGGGATTCTATCAATACTGAGGGGTACATGCCACTCAAGAAGAATAGGAAACTAGGTAAATGTAGAGGGGTAGCGTTGTTAATCAAAGATGGCATTGGTTCAATAGTTAGTGGTGACCTTGGTTCAGGAGATGAGAATGTAGAAAGGGCTTTGGTGCAGATGAGGTATGGAAGGGCAAAATCGTCACTAGTGAGAATGATCTTCAGGCTGCTTAACAGTAACCACAGTTCAGGGTGTTCAAATGCACAGGAAGAAATGTTGAATGTTTGTGATAAAGGGCTGGCAAAAATCTGACAGTAACCACATCTCTAACAACCACAATTTATGGTGAACTTTACACGAAAAAGTATCAGGTGTTTGTGATAAAGGGCCAGCAAAAATCATAGGTGATTTTTATTTACATAAATTGGAAGGATTAGATTGACAATAGTAGCCTGGATGAGAACTTCATAGTACGCTTTCAAGATCATTTCTTAGAACAATACGTTCTGGAACAAACCAGAGAGAAGGATAAATTAAACTCATCATCGTGTAATTTCTCTCAACAGTGTGCCACGTCAGACCCTGTCAAATGCCGTACAAAAATCCATGTAGACAACATCTACGGCACTACTTTCATTAATCTTCCATGTTACTTCTTCAAAAAAAAAATCAATTAAGGTAATAAGACATAACCTTTCATTAATAAATTTATGCAGTTAATCTCATCTCTCAATATCAACTCAAGTAATTTGCACTCAGAACATTTACCTAAGGGAAAACAACATTTATACAGCATGAGAGAAGATTAGTGACTGGTTGTCAGGAAGCCATGGCCATGCAGAGGCATCAGTTCTTTTTCAGCAATATCTCAAGTTCTGTACTACCAAATGATAAAATATTATTTACATTAAGTTTTTCAATTTAATTAGCTCTTGGTTTCCCGTTATTTCTAATATTTCTTTTGTGTCTCCTATAGTGAAGCCAGGCACAGTACATCCACTTAATCTCTCTGCCATTTCCTTATTTCCCATTAGAATTCCACTGTCACAGCCTCTAAGGAACCTCCCATTATTTAGCTACTCACTTCCAGTTTACGTACGCTCATATCCTATATTGTCCCTTACTATCAACTTTTTGGTCAGTTTTAGCTGGTATCCAAAACTTTTCCAATCACAATGCTTCTTGGCAATATTGTAAGTATTTTAATATAAAATTCTCCTTAACAATTTTAGTTAGACACAAATGGATCTATCTTCCTGTGGAGATTTCATTTCTCAGTAGAATATAGACTTTTTGAGAATTATGAAACATTTATTCAAAAATGTTCACCACTCCTCGTCTATTGTCATATGTGATGTGGAAGTCCCAGTGTTGGACTGGGGTGGACAAGGTCAGAGTCACCATGTTATAGACCAAAAAGTTTATTTGAAAACACAAGCTTTCAAAGCGCCGCCCCTTCATCAGGTGAAGTCAAGCTCCGAAAGCTGGTGATTTCAAGTAAACCTGTTAGACTGTAACCTGGTATTGTGTGACTTTTGACTATTGTCTAAAAGTTTAACTTCCTAAGCTACTTTACCCTACTGTCCAAATTTCCCTGTCTTTGACTTGACTTTAAGTTCTAATTATGAAAGTGAATTTATTTATAAAACTCCCAAGCTCAGTGTGAAATTCCTTAATTTTGTGACCATTCTTTCCCAGAGAATGCCTTAGTTTGAGATTATCCTGTCTCATAACACAAGACAAGATCTAAAATAAATGCTTCACTTGTTGGTTCCAAAATATTTTCCTTGAACTTTACTTCCAAATTAGTTTTGCTAATTTTATTTATTAAATTTGTATGAAAATTCAGGTTTTTAATTATTATTGCATTGTCTTTTACATAAGCTGCTCTTAGTTTGATTAGTATACTGTCAGTCAAGATAGCTATTGTTGAGAAGCCAATAATTTACTTTACGTTACTTCTTAACTTGACCATACTGATTACACTTCCTGTTCTGCTGAGCCAAGATTTTTCCACATTACTGTCTTTAAGTCATCCTTAAGTTAACACTACATAAAAACCAAAAGAACTGCGGATGCTGTAAATCAGGAACAAAAACAAGTTTGCCGGAAAAGCTCAGCAGGTCTGGCAGCATCTGTGGAGGAGAAAACGTTTCAGGTCCGGTGACCCTTCCTCAGAACGGGTCACCGGACCCGAAACATTAACTCTGTTTTCTCCTCCACAGATGCTGCCAGACCTGCTGAGCTTTTCCAGCAACTTTGTTTTTGTTCCTTAAGTTAACACTCCTTCCTTTACTTCAAGGGGTTTGGAGTATAAAAGGAGGGAAGTCTTCTGCAACTACACAAGGTTCACATCTGGAGTAATGTGAGCAATTTTGGTCGCCTTTATTTAAGGGAAGAAATTATTTCATTGGAGGCAGTTCAAGTAGGTTCACGAGGATGATTCCTAGTATGAAGGGATTATCTTATGAGCAAAGATTACAGGTTGAGACTCTACTCATTGGAAGTTAGAAGAATGAGAGATGATCTCATTGAAACACGTAGGATTCCCAAGGGGCTTGACAGGGTAAATGCTGAGAGGATGTTTCCCCTCATTCAACCGTCCAGGACCAGACGGCATAGTCTCAGAATTAATTTAAGACTGAGATGAGAATTTCTTCTCTCAGAGGCTTGACAGTCTTTGGAACTCAATGCCATGGAAAGATGTGGGGGCAGCATCAATGTGTATATTTAATGCTGAGGTACACAGATTCTTGATCAGTAGGGGAATCAAAGGTTATGGGGAAATTACAGGAAAGCGAATGTGAGACGTGTGGGATCAGCCTTGATCTTATTAAATGGCACAGCAGGCTCAAGGAGTAAAATAGCATACTCCTCTTCCTATTTCTTATGGAATTATGTTTTTTTTCCATTTTGTCTGCCTTTTTAAAACATCAAATACCCTCAGATATTTAGTTTCCAACCTTAGCCACTATGCAGCCACATTTCCATAACAGCTATTAGATTAAATTCATTTAGCACTATTTGTGCCACTCATTTGTCTATATTGTTACAAATATTTTATGCATTCAGATAAGACATTCACCATTTTACCTTTATCACTTTTCTCTGATTTGGCCTTCTTCACAGATGCACAATTATTAAACTTATATACCACATTAAACTTTTTGTCTCTTATGTTCTGTATATCTCTACCCAAATCAATGAAATGCTGCTTGGGATTGACTTTTTCACTGGATTTCTGAGATACTCAATTAAAAGCTCACACCTAACATTTTAGTTTAAAGCCCTAATGATGCAATTTCCCAAGCCATGGTTCCAGCCCAGATTTTGTGAAATGTGTCCCAATAGAACAGTCCCCTGCTTTCCCAGTACTAGTGCCAGTGCCTTGTGCTCACTGAAATCAAAATCTGTCTCCACATCACTCTTTGAGCCACACATTTGATGCTTTGACTGTTTAACATATGCCAATATTAAACATATTGATTATTATCTTCTGAGGTTCAGATTATTAATTTTGACCTAATCTGTTCAAATTTCCCCCACAGAAATAAGCACAGATTACGCTGAAAATACTCAATAATTCTGACAGAATTGTAAACACAGTTAAAATTTCAGGTCTATGACCTTACATCAGAACATAGGTGTTCTCAGTATTTGTTTTATATTTCCAATCTCCAGTATTTTCCTTAGTATTATCCCAGAAAAATCTCATTCCTTATTCTTTAAATGTCATTGGTTCCTACTTGGACCATAACAAATGGATTTTCATCCTTTCACTTCAGGTTCTGCTCCAGCCATAATAAGATGTCTTCCTCAACCCTTGCACTAAGCAGATAGCATAACATTTGAAAATCTTCTTCATGGCTACAGAGAATAGTAAAAAAAATCCTCTATCTACACAGTCCCTGATAGGCATGACATTCATTGTGACACCCCTATTTAAATTACCTCCCATACAACAGTGCTATAAGCAGTTTGTTCACTAGCTGCAGATTTTGCTGTCATCCACACAGGCCAGAAAAATCTCATACACAACAACAAAAACAAAGTTGCTGGAAAAGCTCAGCAGGTCTGGCAGCATCTGTGAAGGAAAAAGCAGAGTTAACATTTCGGATCCAGTGACCCTTCCTCAGAACTCAAAAATCTCAAAACTGTTGGGTAACGGTCAGGTTTAAATTCCTCCAGCATTTTATCTGGAATTGCAGTCGCATACATCCTGCTTACTAGACCTTTGCTACTTCCTAACCAAAGGGGTAGGATAGCCTCCTAGATCAAAGTTCCCAGCTAACTCTCCCACTCCCTGATATCCTGCAATGTATTCACTTTGGACTCCACCTCAATAACTCTGATCTTAAAGTTTTAGGCATTGCATATACAAGTAATTTATTATATATGGTAGCACAATTGTGTGGGACAGGCCGAAGACCAGAGGGTATTTACCCATCTGTCAATGCAGGTTATTCTATCCTCACTGATCCCCATTAGCTCTCTAGTCACCAACACATTGACTGCAAAATCCTGGTTCAGTCTCATCTCCATGTTGCCGTTTACATTTACCCTTTGTAGAGCTCTTGATGAGTTTTTATGCCTTGCCCTCCACTCTGCTATTGCCACCAAAGACCTCAGTTGTCATGGCCCTAGACTCTGGAGCTCCTTCTAATGATACTCCACCGTAGTGATTGGAACAAGGGCCAGGTGGATCTCAGTGAGTATGAGATCCCTGATTAAGACTGTTAACTTTGGCAAATCAGGGCATCCTATCTGACAGATAAAAAGATGAGTGTCAGAGGTGCTGCTCACCCAGAGAGCTGACTCTGAGGAAGCACCTGTAAATAAAGGGTGATTTGATAGCTGTCTAGGTGCAGTTATTCCATCCACCTTCCTACATCTGTCCTAATTTTTAAAGGTCTCTTTTAAACTTGAACACTTCTGTGAAATCTAGCTGTTTGTGCTAACTCCTGCTTAGTGCCTAACAAAGCATGTAATTATTTATGAAATTATTTTGAATTTAGATTTTGCAGGTGAGCAGGAGGAAGCAATGACAAGTCATATTGAAACATTTATGCATTCTGGCAGTTTTCACTTTCCTTTTTACTCCTCAAGGCATCTCTTGGCCAACCAGACACAGAAACTTTGACATTTTTATGCTCTTTTGTAAAATAATAGCACTGTGGAACTCGTATGGAAGGTCAGGGATTTGCGTAACATCTTGCTCCAAATCCTATCTATTCAAGTCACCTCCAGCGTGTAGCGTCTGTTTGTTGTCCTTGGGCAACAATCCAATTTTAGTAGTTTGTGCTATCTCGGAGAAAGAACTATGCTTTTCTTTCAAAAAATAGCATTCTCGACTTGTTAACATTTTAGGCAAGTTGTCGCTCGCCCTCCCTTTCTTTTCTTACTGCAAAAAGAAGTTGTTAACTTTATTATGTGTGTGAACAGACTGAAACAGCTGTCTTTCTGTTTAGCCTGCATTCCACAGATAAGTGGACAGTTGATTCCCCGCAGCTGATATTCACAAAACTGACACTTACAAATCATTTATTGTGAAAATAATGTTTTTTACTTTAAGAAGTTTTATTTTTTGAAAAAAAGTCAGATGTAGAATAAAACTTTAGTATGAAAAAGTTGAAACTTTCATCACTTACCCCACAAAGTATTTCTCTTTCTCTCTCGTCTACATACACGATCTTCACAGTTGTTACAGGAAGCTGCGACTGGAGGGGGAGGGATGATATTGTTATAGGCTCAATTTAACACAACCGCAGTTTGGTGTTTTCCTCTCTGCAAATTCAATCTAGCGATTTTTCACCAGAGCGCTGGGACAGGAGAGTTATATCAGAATTGCTTACTCTCCTGTTTTCCTGTTAATGATGTCACATCCTGAGACAAATTTATCCTCTTCCCCATACATATGTATTGTTTCTTTTTCAGGGCTTTAACAAATGTTGAAATAAATAGTTCCCTTGGTTTGTTTGGCTCGATTGAAAGGAGTTAACTACCAAAGATGTAAAAGGGGTAGTGTGGTTTCAGCAGCTCACTTCAGACCAAGTATTTTACTGTCTAACTGCTAAATGTCAGTTTTAAGCCTTCTTCATTTTTGTCCGCTGTTGAACATCAGATCAGGCATGTCCGGGCGATAGAAGACAGGGAGCCACACCCCTTAGCATTCTACTTCTCATAGTTTTATAAGGTACTCAGCATTTTGAAATGTCATAAACAAACAGATGCATCTGATAACAGTTATGAGAAAGTGCACCTATCAACGTAATATTTAATTTCTGTGAATGCAGTCCTCGCACAGAGCGTTCACTGAAACACAAGCAGCTGTAATATAGATCGACGCTTTGAAAAAGGACATTTGCAGTATTTGTGCGTCAGAGGCAAAGACCCATCCCTTACTAAACAAAATAAAGTCTGCATGCGCTTAAAATGAGTAGTTTACCTCTGTTGTTATAACGCTGTTACAATTTTTATGTCTTGTTTTCTTAGAAAGCCTCAGGAGAGTTGTGCAGTCTGGACAACATGTTTCCCCCATTTGTTCAAAATGCATTTTGAAAATCGTAATACAATTTTTTCTCTTATTCATCAAAATAAGGGAAAAATATATTTTAAAACTCAAAAACAAATCTAAATATTTCACAGTAATGTTTAAATGTTACTGTTGAATTCCATTCTGTGTCTATTCACATGTTTGTTTTTAACTTGAAGACTCCAGCATTTATTACAGGCCTAAGCTTGAACTTTGAACCACTTATTTTGCAGAAATCTCCCAATCCTGTTTGTTATACTTCCATGGAATGAATATCACTGGCAGTGCTAGCATTTGATCCCGATCCTTGGTTAGCCTTGAGTAAGTGCTGGTGAGTCGCCATTTGCAGATGTAGACCATGTAATGTAGGTACACCCACAGTGTCATTGGAAGGGAAATTCAGGATTTTGATCCAGCAACACTGAAGGTTCAGTGATGTAGTTCCAATTCAGGATGATGAGTGGCTTGGAGTGAAACTTGCAGGTGCTGGTGTTCCTGTGTACCTTCTGCCCTTGTCCTTCCAGGTTGTCAAGGCTACAGGTTTGAAAGGTACCGTTGAAAAAGCATTCACAAGTTCCTGCAGTGCATCATGTAGATTGTAGACACTTTTGCCATTAGGGATTGGTGGCAGAGAGAATGAATGTTCGCTGTGGTGGAGTGGGTGCTGATCAACCAAGTGGGTTACTTTGCTATAGATTTTTTTGAGTTTCATAAATGTTGTTGGGACTGCACTCATCCAGGCAAGTGGAGGTCACACTCCTGACCTGTGCTTTGTAGATGGTGGGCAGATTTTTAGGAATCAGGTGGTGAGTTACCCGTCACAGATGTCCTAGTGCCAGACCTGCTGTTGTCGTTTCAGTAACTATATGGTTGATCCAGATCGCTTTCTGGTCAGTCGTAACCCCAGGATGTTGTTGATGGGGAATTCACTGATGATAATGCTATTGAAAGTCAGGGGAAGATGATCATTGCCTGGTATTTGTAAAGTGCTACCAACCAATTATTAACTGAAGCTTGAATGTTGTCCAATGTTCCCTCTAAGCTATGTGGCTGAGCGTGTGTGCAGCTGTCCTGATGACCCACACACAGCAATAGGCATCAGCACGCTAAAAAGAGCATTGATTCCAATTCCAGAATTCACTGCTACACACAGGCCACAGAGACTTGAGCAGCCAGGGGGTAATTTAGGGAGAATGCTGATCCCACTTCAGACCTTATGATGGAGGGAAAGTAATTAATGAAACAGCTAAAGATGGTTAGGTCAGCAACTATTCCAAGGAAATCATGCAGTGATGTCCTGGGACTGAGATGATTGACTTCCAACAACCACAACCATATTTCTTTGTGCCAGCTATGATTCCAAATAGTGGAGACTCCAAATAGCCTGATTCCCATTGAATCTGGCTTTGATTGGAATCCTTGATGCCACAGTCAGCTAAATGCTGTCTTCATGTTGAGGACAGTCATTCTCACCTGATCTCTAGAGTTTAACACCTTTGTCCATGTTTGGACTAAAGCTGAAGTAAGGTCAGGAGCTGAGTGACGTTGGTGGAATTCAAATTGAATGTCAGTTTTTTTTCAGAAAGTGGGTGCTAAGAAAAACAAAGAGAAATGAAAAATGGAGGAGAAAGTAAGAAAGAAAAAGAAATTGAATTTAAATGGCTTTAATTCCGAGGAATTGCAGTTTTTAAAATCTTACATTTTAAAACAAC